GGTGCAGGTGGTCAGGACGTACCGCGTCAGTCAGATGTTTAGCCCAGTGCATGAGCAGCGCCGGCTGCAGGCCGTGTTTCTCTCCGGCGCGCAGAGTGCCCAGACCGTGCTGCACGAGCAGACGCACGCAGTTTAACGTCCCGGGCCTGAGACACACACACACACACTGCAGTCAGGAACACACACACACACACACACACACACACGAGGAGTCACTCACTGCGCTCTCTTGTGAATCAGGCTGTAGACAGCATCCCACCACTCTCTCTGTCTGTCAGACGACAGCAGCTTCATGATGTGCAGCGGCAGACAGCGCGGCTCGTGCGGCTGAGAGCAGGCCATCTTTCCCCGCTCCTGCAGCTGCGCCTGACTGCAGAACACCACGCCGCACACGAACACCTGCAACACACATATGACAGAGAACTACATCACAGCCTAGACCAGTGTGTCCTTTGTGTCCTCGTGCAGTCAGATGGGACACACAGGTCGAGATACTTCACCTGCTTGGACTTGCTCAGCTGGGCTTTAAAAGACACTTGAAACTGCGCTGACACTCTCAGAGGAGAACAAAATGAATTAAATTTAACAGCTGAATAATGACACTCACGTCTTCTGCAGAGCTGCTTTACAGCAGAATTTGAATGTCTCCTGTTTGATTACGCTTGCAACACTGATTATTTTCCTGCTTCTCTGTAAAGCTGCTTTGAAAAAATCTGTATCGTATGAAGTAGGGCTGTGCAATTACTCTAAATACGGTTTCGATTTCAGCCTCCAACGATTATGAAAATACAAATATCGAGATAAAATGATTGCGCCCTATTCCGCCCCCTTTCCAGCGGTGCTCTTTCGCTCCTCCATAAAAGCCCAATTTCACGTGCAAATCAGTAAAATCATGTAACGTGGCTTTCGCATAATGGGATGTGCTTGATTTATTAAAGTGTATTAGATTTATTAATGTTTTTAAAAGTGCCAAAGAGAACTTGTGCCGTTCCTCAGGAGGATCTCTGGGCACGCGCTCAGAGACGGAACACAGACATGTAAAGTCAACTTTTAGTGCCTAATCACTGGTCAAATAAACACAAATTTTTGTCAAAATGTGGCGCTTAGTGATTATTCATGTAAACCCTCGTCAGTCATGTAATAAATGAACAAAGAGTTGAGAATGAAAATACATGTGTAGTGGTCGACTGATATATCGCCAAGGCCGATATAGGGCATTTTTTAAATATCGGCATTGGCCAATAAGTTTTCCTGTTTGGCCGATGCGTTCGAGGCGGGACTTTTATTTTGACGGTGCTGAGAGCGGCAGCGCCTGAGCACTAATCAGATAGAACGGTTAAACAAAGGAATTAAAATGTATATAAAAAGTCTCATAACGATTGCTTTTATATTAGTAATAGAAAGGCAAACATTATAATACTTTCTTGTTTGCCGTCAGCATTCAGCAAATACGCATTTATATAATTTAAACAAATCTTTGAAAGACTAATGAACATCTAATTTCACAAACCTTGCAAACTTAAGTCAGATCCAGTTGTGAGATCTTGTGAAGTGTGCATGTGACCTGCATGATCGTAAAAAATACTTGCTCATCTAAAGTATAAGTATGTTTATTTAAAGGGGTCATATGATGCGATTTAAATTTTTCCTTTCATGACACTGTTTCATTGTGAAAGCGAAACTATTTTGTTTGGGCTTCCAAAAATGGACACGACTAGAAATCAGTGGTTAAGTTGTATTTACAACACTGTTCCTTTAATCAATTTTCAAATGACTTCAAATTTCTTAAATATTAATTAAAATAAATAAAATTATATCGGCTTTATATCGGCCATCGGCCACCCTGCTTTCCAAGATATCGGCAGTCAAAAAAACAATATCGGTCGACCACTATACGTGTGTAACAGTAAATTGGATCAGTGCGGCTCTTAAAGTGACAGCAGCCTAATATTCCTGCTGCCGACTGTGTGCTTCATATTAATAAAAAATAAAAAAAAGACCAAGTAAATCACTCACTGCTCTTGACTGAAGTACTTTTGTAGCTTCAATAAGAAACAAAGAAAGTTTAATTCTTACAGTGAAGACTACGCTGCTTTTTTGTACATTTGATTAATTTCTGATAGCTGCTATCTGAAAACTTTAGACTTGCATTAAAAAACCCTTAAAGCACAGTTGGTTTCATTTCTATCTTTTTATTCTATTGTATTTGTCCTTTTTTATTACTGACAGTTTAATAATTTTGAATAATTGTTTGTTTTTTACTAATATTAGTTACCCTAGTATTCTGCTGTGGTATTGAGACTTGTGTAATGGTCCCTAAAACCCTAGGGTTTTCACACAGCTCTCCGTGCCCACCTCCGTCTGTCAGTGGATCACCAGCTTCCTGACAGACAGGCAGCAGCTAGTGAGGCTGGGAAAATACACATCCAGGACTATCACCATCAGCACTGGCGCCCCCCAGGGTTGCGTCCTCTCCCCACTGCTCTTCTCCCTGTACACCAACGACTGCACCTCTAAAGACCCCTCTGTCAAGCTCCTGAAGTTTGCAGACGGCACCACACTCATCTGCCTCAAAACTTTCATACTTTTATTCAGAATATTAAATTGATCAAAAATTTGATCTACAACGGACAGTCAGGACTGCTGAGAGGATTATTGGTGTCCCTCTGCCCAGCCTCCAAGATCTTTACATCTCCAGAGTGAGGAAAAGGGCTAAAAAAATCACCTTGGACCCCTTACACCCAGCCCACTCTCTCTTCGAACTGTTGCCTTCTGGTCGGCGCTACAGAGCACTGACCACCAGAACAGTCAGGCACAAGAACAGTTTTTTCCCACAGGCTATATTCAGCCTGAACAATTAATCTTTCATAATTATACATCGTCCATCACAACTAACAGTTATATTTATATTAAACTGCACACTTTGTAAATAACATATCTGCACACTAATAAACATATCTGTACATTATCTAAACAATTAAAGTTTTTCCTATACTTCTATTTCTGTATATAGTACATTATTAAATTTTTAATTTTATTTTATCATACTAGTGTTATATTACATCCCTACTGTGTTATTCCTATGTATGTCTGCACTATGTTTGTACTTTCTTCTGCACTGGAAGCTCCTGTCGTCAAGTCAAATTCCTTGTGTGTGTAAACATACTTGGTAATAAAGCTCTTCTGATTCTGATTCTTAAATGTAGATGTCATAGAATATATATTTGATATATCACTTTAAATAATCTTTAATTTATCCTTAAATCACTCATATAAAGTTTTGGTCATATGGCCCACTCAAAATCAGGTTAAATAATCGTGATTATGATTTTTGGCATAATCAAGCAGCCCTAGTATAAAGCGCTACTGAAACACACGTGACTTGACGACAGAAATTAAGCTAGTTCTCGATAACTGATCAGCAGATTGTTGAAGTTCCCTGACAATCCTGCATGTTAGTTGGAGCTTTACTGGATTACACACCTGTAGATATTAAAGGGACAGTTCAGCCAGAAATGAAAGCTTGCTGTTAATTCACTCATCCTCAAGCCATCCAAGATGCAGGCGACGGTTTTTCTTCAGTAGAACAGTAAAGAAGATGTTTAGCTGAAACTGTGCTCCTTGGTGATTCATTAAATGCAAGTCAATGGCACTTTGAGAGTCAAAACACGCATTTATAGGCAACTCAAAATTAATAACCGTGGCTCTTGATAATATATCGAAATCCTATGAAACAAAACTAAAGTAATAGTTTCTAATGGCCTATGTAAAAAGGTGAGTTAATTAAGATTAGTTTATTCACTTAATATGCTTTAGTTTTTTTTTAACACTTTCATAATATAATTGCATACACATGATGTCACTGCACGACTACAATTATTATTATTTTTTTAAAGTTATATTTATGGGCTTTTTTCTGCCTTTAATGGACAGGACAGTAGAGAGCAGACAGGAAAATATTGGGCAGAGACGGGAACCAAACTGGGGTCGCTGGGAGCACAGGTGCACTGTATATCGGCGCACTAACCACGAGGCTATCGACGGCGACGTGACTAAGGTTATTTGAACCAGTTCATTGAATTAAACTGTCTGATAGAACTAGTGTTGAGTACCGAACTCTGTACTGTTAAGGGCACCGACCGAATTGCGTCGGTACTACGAGTACCGATTCACGTGAAATCAATCGGTGCCAAATTTCGGTACCTGAGAACGCATCTGGGCGCATACGCTACAGAGAGAGAGAGACCCTGTGACGTGAGGTCACCCCTGCAACTCGTTCAGACAACACACAGGGCAAGATGAAATGTTCTGAAGTGTGGTTACATTTCTAGAGCCATATGGTTTCTGCGAATACGAGGACGGGATCGTGGAGTCCATTCATGAAAACGTAATTTACTCTATAGCGTCAATTTTGGACGAATAAATCAAAAGTAGCCACTGCCACTTAATTCGAATCGCGATATGAACTAGTGTCTGTGAATATTAAAATGCAAAAAGAATGTTTTAAAGGAATATTCACACAATTTTTCTTCCATGTATTAATGTCAACAGTAAACCTCAGTTTGTTTGCCAAAACATAAAAGGGTTTAATTTCCATTTGATTTTAAATAAATGTTTAATGCCTTCACTTGATTTTCAGAAAAATTAAAACAAAAATTTCTGGGGGGAAAAAAAAAAGTTTGTAGGGCCCTTTTGTTCAAAATGTTGAAATTGAGACTTTTGGACTTATTTTTTTCACTGAAATAAATGTTTTTGTAATTACACAGAGAGTAAAGTACCGAAAAAAGGTACCGATACCAGTACCGTACCGGTTCAAATGTGAACGGTACCCAGATAAGACCCTTAATATACCATCAGGAGTCATGATATATTGATTGTGCTGCCTGATGTGTTTTTTTAATTCTCAGCCACTGCATTTTGAATGAATCACCAAGGAGCACAGTTTCAGCTAAGAATCTTCTTTACTGTTCTACTGAAGAAAAACAGTCGTCTGCATCTTGGATAGGGTTGCAAAGGGGCGGAAACTTTCCATGGGAACTTCGTCTGAGGAATTTTGGAAATATTCCAAGGTTGAAACTTACCAGGAATTTATAGGAATTCATTGAAAATTTGGGGAAATTTATAAAACTATCATATACAAACATAAATATAAACATTTTGTTTGATCATAGGCTCACATGCATGCAAACTAATACAAATTTTAAAAATGACATTTTTGGATTTTTGGGGGAAATCGGTGATGATTTTTTAGGATTTATCGATGAATGAAAACTTGTGAACACTGTTTATTCAAAATAGAAATATTTTCTAACAATATAAGTCTTTACTATTACTTTATTAATTTAGCACATCCTTGTTGAATAAAAGTATTAATTTATTTCAAAAAAAGAGAAAAGATAGTGACCCCAA